TTTTAGAATTAATCTTTCTTATTTTTTATACGTACATAGATGGGTATTTGGAGGAAGTCCCAAAGGGGAGCCAGTCAGTTTGATGGCCTTTGTATATTGAAAGTATCATTTCTTTACATGGTTTTTCTGAATAAATATATATTCTGATTATCAAGTAATACAGTTATGGTAGAAACTTGAGAAAATACCCAAATGTATAAAAATTAACTTTTTTAAATCAAATAATGATAATCCATTGAACATAGGCAATTAATTTTGTTTCTACCACAAATTGCATTAAAATAACAGGAAAGGTTTTTTTTTTTTTTTTTTTTTTAATTTTTTAAGTAGACAAACCGACTAGGAAGAGAAAACAAAAGAGACAGCACCAAAAATATTTTGGAAGCTGGAAGCAGATGGTTGTGAGGTAACAGACTTAGCAGATGTGAGGAACATGCCTATTTATGTGACAGTCTCTCAAAGGCTCAGGAATTGGTGGCAGCAGATAATCTCTAGAAGCTGGAGTGAGAGGAGGCTGAAATCATATGTAGTGATTGAAAGCTGATGAAGAGAGAGTCTCCTTATTAGGGGACATAGGTGCCATTGAGTATCAGGATACCTCACTGAAAAATAGAATAATTAAATAATATCCTCATGTCCTATGTTCTCTCCTCCCCCCCCTTGGCCTCCAGGACACTGGCAGAAAGGCCTCTACTCTCTAGACAGGGAACTTGAAGGGTCTTTCTGGAGAACCTGAGTACCCCAAGGGACTTCTTTAACGAAATGGCCCAGCTGGTACATTCTGTGGTGAAAGCAGGACAGATAAATAAGTGCCCTCTTGTGTGCTTGGAGTCTCCGCTCTTGTTTTTTGTTTTTTTTTTTTTAAGATTTTTATTTATTTATTTGACAGAGATCACAAGTAGGCAGAGAGGCAGGCGGGGGGAGGAGGCGCAGGGGGAGAAGCAGACTCCCCACTGAGCGGAAACTCCGATTCGATTCGGGGCTCGATCCTAGGATCCTGGGATCATGACCTGAGCTGAAGGCAGAAGCTTTAACCCACTGAGCTACCCAGGTGCCCCTCTACTCTTGGTTTTTGTTGTTGTTTTATAGTGGTTGTTCCCATTCTGCAGTATGAACAGTTACCGACATTTGAAAAAGGTGTATAATACAGAAGAGCCCAAAACAAATAGAAGAAGGCAAGATATAAGAAATAAATACTTAGGAAAAGTTAAAAAAAAGTGATCATTCATGTCTTTAGAGAGGTCAGGGAAGAAACTGCAACCGTGAAATGGGAATTGGATGCTGTGAAGAAAAGGAATAGTCTAAAAAGCTTTTGGAAATTGTAAACACGATGGCAGAAATTTCTCTAGGAGAATCAGAAGGCAGAACTGAATTTCTTAGAAAGTAGAACAAAAATAGCAGATAAGTAAGAAAATTGGAGAACCAGTGCAGGTGGTCCATTATCCAAATAATAGGAAAACGAGAGAGAGAGCAGAGAAAATGGAAGAGAGGAAGCAGCCACAAAATCATTTAAACATTTTCTCAGGACTCATGAACATACATTTAAAGTTTTAAAGAACCCATTGAATTACCAGCATATTGATCAAAGTGCACCCACAGCAAGGCACTACTAATTTCTAGACACTGAGGGAGAAGTTACAGGGAGAAAAAAACATTGAAAGAACCTGGAATTTGGACATCAGACCAATAAATAGCAACACTGGAAGCTAAATGTCAAGCGTGAACTCTGAGGGAAAATTACAACTCCCTAGAATTTTTTAGCCAGTCAAGCTTAAAGTATTCCTTTTTAAATATCAAGATCATTAAAGATTATTTCCCGAGAAGCTACTAGAAGATATGCTTCACCAAAATGGAGAAAACAGATGGAGCATTTGGGAAACAGGAGATCCAGCAAAGGAGATGCCCAAAACAATTGTGAAGTGGGGTTGTAGAGATAGAGGTAGTGAGTCTAGATGTGAGCAAATGAGAAGGCTCTAGAACTTTCTCCAGGAAGATGAAATAGATTGCATGATACGCCTTAAACTTCTTGAGAGTCAGACGATTGGAGGTAGCTTTGGATTGCATACAGAAAAAACTAAGGTGGGAAGAACCAGGATAATTACAGTTACTCGCTCCAGGGGGAGAAAATAAGTATAGGAAAAAAAAATGATACATGAATACACATAATTCAGCTCTGGATTAGATTTATATCATCACAGTAATAGAAATAATAGAACAGAAACTGATCCAGCCAAAATTACTATATAACCATATTGGAAGGATGGAGGGAAGGAAGAGTTTATATACATGTGGGTGGTGTATGTTGGGGTTGGGGGATGTCTGACAGGAGGAAGGAGGGTCACATCTTCATTTTCCATGGGAAAAGTCAAGAGACAATACTTAAAATTGAAAAGGAGTAATAAAAATCACACTATTTAGCTCTGTGGTGTTAATAAAATAATCAGTTAAAAGAGTTGAGGAAATTGGTGGCGTAGAGATAGGGACCTGCTAGTTTTCATAGGAAATATTCTAGAACTATGTAACCCTTTATGTGAATGTGCAATTTTGATACAAATTTAAAAAATTAAATAAAATTAAAAAATAAAGTTGCTCCTGTCATTTTGTACACTTTTTTATGTATACACGCACACACACACACATTTTCTTTGAGTGTTTGCTGTGGGCCAGGTACTGCGTTGGGCCTTGGAAATACAGTGCAAAGGTGATCAAGTATCATTTCCTTCCATGAAAACTTTCTCTGAAATTCTGGAAAGTAAATTTTGAACACATGCTCTGGAAGATAATAGGCCATCGCGTAGTTCAATTTCCAGCTAGTGAGATGTCTGTAGAATCAGCTGAAATCCTCACTAATAGCTTGATTATGTGCCTGGGACTCACTGTCCTCACCTTTCATCTGTTGTCATACTACATTCTCACACAACCCTATGAAGGTTCTGTCTGGATCCATGATCATCTGAAGCTCAGACGGGGTGAGTAGATTGCCTAAAATCGCAGAGCTGGAACTCGAACCTTGGCCTCCCTGGTTTCAAATCTGTACCACAGATTGTGATTGATTGAAATATTTACCCAGGTAATTTGGTGTCTACAGTGAACAAGAGGAAGCATCCATTTTTTTGGGCTGGGGGTGGGGGTGGCTTACATAAAAATCGTCCTCACAGTGCCTTGTAGAGGAGAAGCAGCCCAACAAGCATGGGGCATTACTATCTTTAGTTTCTTCCGGAGGGGGGTTTTTAGCAGAGTGAGTACCTAAATTTACCAGGAAGAGACCACGCTCTGGTAGATTAGAACTCACTTAGCATCTGTTGAGAACAGTTTACATGGGACCCTTAGAACTTCAAAATGAATGAGACACCGATGGACACGGGCATCTGTTGCACTCGATGTGTGAACATTCAGTATCAAAACGCTTTGTGTTAAGACCTGAGTTTGTATGATTAAGGAGACTGCATATTAACTATCCTTTGTTTAATTGGTATTTTGGACCATGATAGTTTAAGTTTTAGAATGGCTTCATATATTCTTAAATTGAAATTTCTTTACTTTGATAAACTCGGAATATATATTCCTGTAGATTTGCCTTTTCCAAATGTGTTCTGCAGAGCCATTAAGATACACATTAAGGTGTTTTGTTAAGTCAGGAGCTGATGTCTAGCAATTTGGAGAATCCTGGATATAATAACCTCCTTTTGGAGATTTACAGGGCACATTAGTGCGTTAGAGACTCTGAGGTGATTTTGTATAGAACCACCATATGTTACTGTATTTAACCAGAATTTCCACAGTTTTTTGGAACACGGATTCATTTTTCCAACTAAATTTTACTTGAACACATTTTGGGAAATGGGGGACTCCAGGTTATTTTTCTTTTGAAGGAAATGTGCCTATCATGACCTTTCGGCTCCTTTTAGCTCTGAAATGCTGTGGCTTCACAATTTTGACTGTCAGTTCCATGTGAGTCGCTTCGACTTAAATTTTGCTAGGTTGTAATTATCAAGTGTGTACACAAAGTCCTATTTTACCTTTGAAGTTTTATCTGAGGTCTTAAAGATTTGATTAGGACTCCCTATTTTCTTTGAAACGTGGTTTGGAAAAATATACGCCACATTACAAATACTTTCTAATAAATTGTTCCAGAAATTGTGTATATCTGTGTACATAGCATACGTGGACAGACGCGTGTATGTGTGTATGTGCAATATATCCATACACAGAGAGCATATGTGGACATTTTTTAAGTACTCTATTGTGTTCTTTATTAAGGAAGGAAGTTATTTAATTGCTGCAGTGAACATTCTGACACAAAATCTTTGTATGATTGGATGGCTATATCTGTATAATAAGCTTCTAGGAATATAATTTCAGGTCAGAAAGCATATGCATCTGAATTTTTAATAGGTCTTTATTATCCAAAAGAGTGGACCGGTTAATGTGCAGCGACCCCATGAAAGTTGGTTTGGCCACTCCCATCGCTGGCAACATGACTAGATGTTATTGAACATCTGAGCTGACGTTGTTTTCCTATATGGGAAATCCACTCTTTCAAAAAAGACTATCTTTTCATGTATTATTTTGTATTTATTATTTATCCATTTACTTAATAGAATCGGAAAGCTCTTTGGGGGCTAGCAAGAATGGTCTTTTTGCACAAGCAGTGACCGTCTGTGAGTAATATACGTGAAGTTAATGATAATAACTTAAAGCTGAATTTTATTACTAAACATGGTACAGAAATGTTCAGCCTTTCAAACATTTCCTTCAGTGGAAAATACCTCTGTGAACTTTTGCGCTAGTAGATTCTGCCACAGAAATAAAATGATGGTGGATTTGATGCAAAAATTGCAGAGATGACAAACTTGACCATGGATATAGTTTTGAAATTTCCACATTTTCTTATGAAATCTTGAGTTTTCACTGTCTCTTCTGAGACTGCAGAAAAAGACTTTTCAGTCTGCTGTGGAGGGATGTCAGTGACATAATTGATTCATTCTTTTTGCCTCCAGGAGGAAGACAACGATCCTATAGTGCCCTTCGATGAGAAATGGAAACTTTTGAGCTGCAGCTCCGGTTGACCCTCAAAGCCTGCATTGTTTGTCTTCATCTAACCCAGCTCTGATGGACGTCTGTGACAGCTGCCTCTACATGTGCTCTAATGAAATACTAGAAGTGGCTGTACATTCAAAAGAACCCCAGTATTCTATATCCGTACCACTGCTGCTAGGATTCAAATTTTGGCACATACTGTTTTTTGCTTATGTGTAGAAGAAATGAAACTAGTTTTCAGAGTTATTAATATGAATATATATCACATATTAATAATGAGGCAGGAAAAATACACTCAGTGTTAGCGGTCCTTCATTTCCTGTCTCAGAGAAAATTCACTCATTTGGAGAATAATGTAATTCTTAATAATAAATAAGAGTTTTGATCAGGAACAGCGTACGGCTTGCAAATGGAATGTGAAGGATTAGTGAAGGTCGTATCTCATGTTGTTCAGCTCTCATGCCACAATTAATGTCATGCTGATTATTATGCAAAACAATTTTGGAGTTAATGCAACAACAGAATCACTTTATGTATTTCTCAAAGGATCAAATTGAATGTATGAATCTAATTGATTTATTTGACATATTAGAAACTCTGGTTTCTAGGAGTTTAAGAAAGGCATAAAAATAGGATAAAAAGTAAGTGGGTACTACATACCAGAAAATAGCTTTATTTTCAATGATAGAAACATAAGTTTAATAGTATCCTATGATAATTTAGTGTTGTACATTTTGTAAGACCTTAAAATATTTTATTCTATGGATTTTACTTTAGTATATTGAGACATTGCTTTCTAAGATAATCAACAATATCTTTATTTTAATTAATTTTAAGTGCTACTGGCAAATGTAAGCATATGCTTAGAAGCAGTTAGATGTGACAGAATGAGATAATTTGTGTAAACTAGTAGTGTGCCTGGCACAAAGCAAGTACTTAATAAATGTTATTTGTTGTTACAATTATTGTTGTAAAACTACAGGCCTCATAGTCCTAATTTGGAGGGATTTGGGGATGCAAAATGTCTAAGTCAGAAATCATACAGGTAAAAGATGTATATGTTGTGAGGTTTTAGATGTGTTGTGTAGAGGCTGTAATAAAGCATTAAATACAAATAAAAATCACACCCAGTATCCCTTAAAAATGACAGCAAAGGAAGATGCTGGTAGAGCCTTGTGCAGGGAGAGGCAGGAGTGGTGGCCATGGCAGCAGAGTGAGGAAAGGCAGGGACTTGCAAAGGTTTGGGGTCCTCCCTGAGCCCTGGGCCACAGGAGGGCAGCATTGGGCAGAGTCTCTGGGAAGTGGAGAGAAGCCCTGGATCCTTCCTTTCTGCAGTTTCTCCTATGCAAAAATGAAAAAATGGCAAAGCATGGTTGCAAAAACTGCAACCTGTTTAAAGACTTCTCTCTCTTAGACTAAAACATGCCACACACGCTGAACATTGGTCATAGGTGTCTCCTCATTTGTAACTGATATCTAAAGATGACCTCTGAAGATCTCATTTTCTTATGGATGAGAAGCCAGTCAAAAGGTGACCTGGCAATCTTTCAGTAGAGCCTGTGTTTGGGCCCTGAAAGCAGGGTGCAGGTCAAGTCTTGGACTTGACTTTTGTTGCTTCTTGTAGTCTCCAACCATCTGTCCCTGAAAAACACAAAATAAACATTAACAATTCAAGTGACCTTTAGGGAAATACCTAGTTGCCCATATTTCCCCCTTCAATGTTTTTTAGTTGAAGCCATCAAATTTACCATCTGCTTTCTTAAGTGAGAAGATGGACATGAACTACTTGATTCAGCTTGTGGTGTCCATTGCTGAGGCTGTGTGTGTGGAGGCTTAGTAGTCTTTAATATAGGAAACCCCTTCTTCCTTTCTACACTTTGGTACCTCGGGCTCAGACTATGAATGCAGGTGTGAGAGTGATGCTTGTGTAAGAGTGAATATCAAAGTGTAATTTATAAATCAACACAAGTACAAATAACTGATCTTAAATCTATCCTCCCTTTGACGGTGTCCTAGGGAAGGAAAGTGAAAGGTATGTAATGGGCCCTGAAATTGAGGAAGGAGCCTCCCAAGCAAGTGTGTGTGTGTGTGTGTGTGTGTGTGTGTGTGTGTCAGGGGGTGGGTGGAAGGGTGTGTGGGGGAGTTAACTTGGGATAAATGACAAATTTTATGGATCTTGAAATGTAATTTAGGGTGGATTTGTTTACCTAACAGGAAAAAAAAAAGCAACAAACGGGGGTGCTTTTTCACATAGCTTACACATCTGAAAGTGTTTCTGATTCATGATAATTAACGTACCTGATGGTGCCTAAAGTAATACTGTCCTCAGAAGGTTTGTCAATTAAGATAATTTTTTGTTGTTGTTGGTCAGTTGAACTGAAGTCTTGCCAATATTGTTGCTCCTTTCAAAGAAGCAGCATTTAGTTTTGTTGGTTGTCTCTACCGTGTTTCTATTCTCTATTTCATTAAGTTCTTCTCTAATCGTTATTATTTGTTTTTCTGCTTGCATTAGGTTTGGTTTGTGATTTTTCTAGTATGTTAAGGTAGAAGATTAGGTTATTGGTTTGAGATTTTTCTGTAATAAAGCCCTTTACAGTTATAAAATTTTCTCTAAGCATTGGTTTCTGCTGCATCTTGTAAGTTTTGTTTGGTATGTTTTTGCTTTCTTTATCTCAAAGTATTTTCTAATTTGCCTTGTGATTTCTTCTTTGACTTAATGGTTATTTAGGTGTGTGTTGATTAATTCCCACATATTTTTGAATTCCAAAATTTCTGTTATTGATCTGTAAGTCTCCTCAATTATGATTAGAGGACTAACTCTACATGTTTTCAATCCTTTTAAACCTGTTGAGGCTTGTTTAATGGCCTAGCATATGGCTTGTTCTCATGACTGTTCTGTGTGCATTTGAGAAGAATGTGTAATCTGCTGTTGTTGATGTGTTCTGTAGATGCCTGTTAGGTCTGGTTGGTTTATGATGTTGTTCAAGTATTCTATTTTGTTTATCTTCCTGTTTCTATTATTGAAAATTAGATATTGATGGCTCCAACTATTATTATTGAATTATCTTTTTTTCCTTTCTTTTCTGTCAGCTTTTTCTTTAAGGATTTTGGTCTCTATTGTTATATATATATATATTTATATTTTATATATTTATATATACATATATATATATAAAATTTCCATATTTTTCTGAAGGAGTTCTTTTATTATTAAAAAAATGCCCTTTATCTCTAGAAACATTTTTTGCTTAAAAAGTAACTTGTTAGATATTAGTAAAGCCATTGCCACTTTCTTATGGTTGCTATTTGCATAATCTGTCTTTTCCATTCTTTCACTTTCAGTGTATTTGTATTTTTGAATCTAAAATATGTCTCCTGTATACAAAGTGGGATCTTGTTTTTTCATCCAGACTGACAATCTCTCTGACTTTTGATTGCATTTTTTTTTTTACCATTCACATTTAATGTTATTGTTGATATAGCTGGATTTATGCCTACCACTTTTTGTTTCCTACATGTCTCATGTCTTTGATGTTGTTCTTCTATCTTTCCTTTATTGTTTTCTTTTGCATTAAGTGAATATTTATACTTCAATAGCTTTAGTGATTTTTTCTTTTACTTTCTTTGGACTTTATTTTCTTAGTGGCTGCTCTAGAGCTTACCGTGTGTGTGTGTGTGTGTGTGTGTGTGTGTGTGTTTGAGTTTATGTATTTATATATTAGAGAGTATGAGCAGGGGGAGGGGCAGAGGAAGAGGGAGGGCAAGAATCTCAAGGAGACTGTACACCGAACTTGGAGCCTGATATGGAGCTTGATCCCACGACCCTGAGATATGACCTGAGTCAAAACCAAGACTCAGATGCTTAACCAACTGAGCCACTGAGGTGCCCCAGAGAGCTTACCATATACATGTAATTCATCAGAATCTACTTCAGATTTATACTAACTTGGTTACAGTGAGATCAGAAATATTACCTTTATATTTCTCTATTCATTCTTTTTCCTTTTTTGTTACTGTTTTATATATTATATGTATATATATAAGTCCTATAAACCCAACAATATATTGTTATAATCATTACTTTATAGAATTGTCTATTAAAGAAGCTAAGCAAAGGAAGGACAAGTAGAATTTCTTTTTTATAGGATTCCGTATGTTAGTCTTCTTATTTATCATTTCTGGTTCTTTTAATTTGGCCCTGTAGATTCACATTGTTGTCTGTGTAATTTTCTTACTCCATTCTCTTACTTTGTTTTCACCTACTTCCTATATGTTATTATTGTCAAATACATTACATTTTTATGTGTTCTAAGGCTAATAGTACAACTATATGACACTGCTTTATACAGTTGCTTCTTAACTAAGAGATGGAAGAAAGATGCACTTACACTGTCTTTTATAATTATATATAATTACTTTTATAATTATATAATTATTTTTACCAGTGCTCTTGGTTTTTGGTATGGATTCATACTATTGTCTGGGGTCACTTGGTTTCAGGCTGAAGGATTTCATGTAAGGCAAGTCTACTAGCAACAGATTCTTTTTGTTTATGTGGGAATACATTTGTTTTACCTTTCTGTGTGAAAGTTTGTTACATGTAAGATTCTCGATTGGCAGTTTTTTTTCTTTTAGCACTTTGAGCATGATATCTCACTGCCTTTTGGCCTTCACTATTTATGTTGTTTCTCATGAGATGTCAGCCATTAAACTTAGTGGGGTTTCCTTCTACATGACAAGTGATTTTTAGGTTGCTGTTACCAAATTCTTCTTTTTTTTTTTTTCCTGCTTTTCTGGTTACCTGATCTCTCCTACCCATTCTACTATAATGTATGTGGGTGTAGATCTATTTGTGTTTATCCTAGTTGGAGTTTGTTGTGCTTCTTAGATATATAGATTAATATTTCATCAAATGTGGCATGTTTCTGGTCATTCCTTTTTTACTTTTTTTTTTTTTTCTCCTTTTCTCTTTCTGGTGCTACCATTATTCAAATGTTAGGACACTTTGCCTTTTTTAAGATTGTATTTATTTGAGAAAGAGAGAGAGAGAGAGAAAACCAGAGCAGGGTGAGGGGCAAAGGGAGAAACAGGCTCCCTGCTGAGCAGGGAGCCCGATGTGGGGCTCGATCCCAGGATTCTAAGATCATGACCTGAGCCAAAGGCAGACACTTAACCAGCTGAGCCAGCCAGGTGCCCCTTGTTAAGGCACTTGATAGTGTCCCATATTTCTCTGATCCTGTGCTCATTTTTTCCCCTTTCTACCCACTCCACCCCCTGCTTGTTTCTGTTGTTGTTTGCCTTATTTGTTTAATGACTTGACTGAACTATGCATTTTTTTTTTTTTTTTTAATCAACTCTATTACTCCATGCACTGTGAAGTCTAGGAAGTAGCTTCTCAGAGAACTGAAATTCTGGGCACGTGCACATCATCCTGGGATGACAGTGATGTAACAGGACTCTCTTGGGTGGTCTCTTTCCTTGATCTCTCTGCTAAGCTCTGCCTCACAAACACCCTAGCTGTTAGGTCCACTAATTCCTGGGTGATTGCTTCATTGTTTTTGACAATGCCATGGGGTACAAGTTGCTCCACATCTGGTTCATTTAAGTTTGGACCCCTTTGCTGGCATTGTTTTGAGGTCAGCTATGAGATTTGTTCTGATCCTAGGAGGGTTTTTGGCTGTCTCTTTCCATGGTTCCGTCTGAAAAACTAGCTAGTGATTTAACTTGTTACCCTGATACAGCTAATATTCTCCTCTTAATTACTTGTCACCAAAATCTCCATTGTTTTCCAGAGCAGCCTCAGGCTTGAACTTCCCCCACACTCTGTTACTAATAAAGTTAATTCTTGTATGGAAAGTTTTGGTGCTCTTTGCTCTTACCGTCTGTCCTAGGCAAAATATTTATGTCACAGTTCTTGAGCTGTGGGTGGGGTCAGCAGCTTGTTGCTTAATGCAGTGACACTCCAGCTTTGCAAAT